CCCGGGAAAGGGAGTTTGACGTGGGGGACCACATGTTGGTCCTATTGCCGGACAGCGAAAGGAAGTTGCTTGCCCGGTGGCAGGGACCCTATGAAATCACACACTGAGTGGGGCCTGTGGACTATGAGGTACACCAGATAGACAACAAAAAAGAGGCAAGTGTACCACGTTAACATGTTAAAGAAGTGGGAGACCTGGGAGTGTATGTACCTAGCCCCTCATCCCGAGGAATTAGAGTTGGGGCCCACGTTAACCGAGGGAAACAGACCGGAGGACGTGGAGCTGGCCCCGCGCTTGTCAAAAGAACAGAGGAGACAGGCTACTGAGCTAGTCAAGGAATTCGAAGATGTATTCTGGGGAACCCCAGGGGAAGCTCAGGGCGTGGTACACCGGATTAAAAACTCCTCCGGGCCAGGTGATACGTGAGAGTTGAAGATGGATCCCCCAGCGGCTCCAGGGCCAGATAAAAGCTGAACTGGCAATGATGCTGGAGCAAGGTATAATATGCAAATCCCACAGTGACTGGCGAAGCCCCATCATAGCGGTACCTAAGCCCGATGGAAAGATCCGCCTCTGCATCAGTTATCGGAAGGTAAACGCAGTGGCCAAGTTCGATGCTTATCCGATGCCCCGCGTGGACGAGCTGGTAGAAAACATCGGGCAGGCACGTTACATTTCCACGTTGGACCTGACAAAGGGTTACTGGCAGATCCCGGTGGCACCCAAGGATCAAGAGAAAACAGCGTTCGCCACCCCATGGGGGCTTTTCCAGTTCCGACGCATGCCGTTTGGGCTGCATGGAGCTGCGGCTACGTTCCAGCGGCTAATGGACAGAGTGTCTCCCCATGGGGGTTACGCTGCAGCATATATCGACGATATTATTATATATACTGAGAGCTGGGATGAACATCTCGCCGCGCTAAGAGCAGCAGTGCAAGACCTAAGGAGAGCGGGGCTGACAGCCAATCCTAGGAAGTGTACGATAGGAAAGGAGGAAATGCAGTACCTGGGGTTCCTAGTGGGGAGCGGGGAGGTGAGACCATTGCTGAGCAAAGTGGAGGCTTTGCGGAGGTATCAGGTCCCCCGTACCAAAAGACAAGTCAGGGCCTTCCTGGGGCTGGCCAGTTATTATAGGAAATTTGTACCCTGCTTTGCAGACGTAGTCATACCGTTAACGGAGATGATAAAGGCAGGGGCCCCAACCAAAGTGAGATGGACACTGGAGGCAGAGAAGGCATTCCAAGCGGTAAAGGATGCACTATGCTTAAAACCACTTCTATATACACCGAATTTTAACAAACCTTTCCTGGTGCAGACCGAAGCATCAGATGTGGCCATCGGTGCGGTATTGGTGCAAAGGGAAGGAGAAGATAAGCATCCTATAGCCCACATAAGTAGGAAGCTACACCCACCGGAGCGGAATTATGCCACAGTTGAGAAGAAGTGTCTAGCTATTTAGTGGGCCATTGAAACACTACGGTACTATTTATTAGGGTGGAAGTTCACGTTGGTTACCGATCATTCACCCCTGCGCTGGTTGCCGAGGATGAAAACCGATAATGCAAGACTCATGAGGTGGGCCCTTAGCCTCCAACCGTATTGTTTTAAGGTGGAACACCGCCCAGGAACCCAGAATCAAAATGCCGACTTTCTCTCAAGACAGTACAAGGAAGAAGAGGGACCAGAAGGAATGGAGGGACCCCAGACGAGAGAAAGAAGGGGGAGTATATTTCGAGGCCCTAACCTCGCTGCTAGGAGGCCGAGTGACCCCTCCAATCTTGGGACCTCCCAGGGGGGGCCCATTAGGCGAGCAGCTGGAGGAAGAAAGCTAAGCTCTGGAAAAGGGCAACTGGAGCGAGGCAGGGAAGCGGCAGGGAGACAGGCTCCCAACGATGATGATAATGTGTCAGCCGTCATCATCAGCGGGACGCCCTACCCAGGGCTACCCGCACGAATGTCTGACACAGGGAGTTAAAGACCGGCCTAAGTGGTGCCCTTCCAAGGATGGCTAGTGTGGGGGGACTACCTCTGGTGGGTTACTCCCAACAAATCCCACATGGTGCGCCTTGGGTAAAAGGCGAGTAGGAGGTGCCTAAAAACCTCCACCTCCTATACCTAAATGGCTGGGTGCCGGAGGAAATGGCCGAGAGGAGAACCCCAAAGCGGATGGGACACCCGGCGAAAGAAGTACTTGGCTCGGTGAGTCTGGAGTAAAAGCG